TGGATGGGGTTGGATGAGCTGGTAGCAAGTTGATGGCCTGGTGGTACTTGCCTTACGGGTGGTTAGCAGGGGATAGTGGAATTTGGGGTGCTGTACAGGGATTACTCTCACGAACATACGGATTTGTTTCTCCGTCGTTCCCCACCTGACCACCAGCAAGTCCAAAGGGTCGCTATGGACCATAGGGTTTGGGGTTTAGGGTTTACATCCTACATAGATCCAATGTCCATTGCATTGTCCATGTCATTGTGCATCTGCTTTGCACTTTGGTTCTCCTTTATTGGGATAACCCCTAAACTCAATATATGTACACCCTAAACCCACAACCCCAAACCTTGAAGTGGGTGTCCCTACATAATCCCTGGCTGTAGTCCCTATATGCGCTTTTTGGTTTAGGAGCTCGCGGGACGAATCGTGGGTCATGTCTATAGTGGTCCGAAGCCTCATGCATGCCAAAGTTTATCTGCGAAAGTCCTCGCCACTTGAAGGTTGCATGCATAGTTCTAGCTTGGGTTATGCAAAGGCTGAACTTAAGTTTGAGATAACAACCGTATATTTTGGGGGTATTTATATCCCTACATGGAACTACCCATGAGCTTCCAAGTGGAGGCGCGAGGTTATTCCCAAAGCCTGCGCATCAGGGCATTGATGTGCCTGGAGTGAGATCAACTGAGCTCTTGACTACTTCCCAAAGACTCGCTTTATAATGCTTGTACAATTGTATAATTGTATAACAGTATAATAAGTAACAACATAGAAAATCATAACTATAGCATAACATCCCCAAAGCCCTAGTCTTGCCTGGGGCTCCTTAAAGTACCGGAATGGGATTTAGGCATCAGGGTTTAGGGTTTATGGTGTTGCGCTAGGGGGCTAGCAACAGCTTATGTACATAGCTGCTATGGAGGTACTACAATGCTAGAACGCAACGCAACTTCCAGGCTGTGATTTTGAGGCTAGCCAAGGAAGACAACCGACACCTTGTCCCGCATGTAGCCACTCTGACCCCGTTCGAGCGCACAATATAGTCGGAATTTGAGCAAGACTCCTGAGTGACTGAGTGTGCCTCCACCACAACAGCCGCCGACCCCTCCTCTCTCTCTCGAATGCTTAGCAGAATGCCACGAACAGACCCTGGAGATAAGATTGTATATCCTGTGTTAGAGAACTAGGCAGGCTGGTTGAATTTCAAAATTGCCCGCCAACACTGCCAAAAAGTCCTTGCAACCCTGGGAAACCAGTAAGGGGCTTCGCAAACTACAATCCATGGGTGGTCCGAATGATTCCGAAGTGTCTGCGCCGAGACTTCGTCCTGGTTAAGCTGATTCTCAGGGCCCTGCGTACACGCTGGGGATCCTAAGGGGATGACAGTGTGGGACTGCGTAGGTGAGTTCTTCCGGGTCAGGGTGAAATCCGCTTGGAGTACCTACAGTGGATCTTCCAGTACTACGGCATGTGGGGTGCTCTCCAGGACATGTTGGATGAGTTTCCCCTGAAGAAATTTGCATGCAAAACATTAAAAGTACTGTCTGGCTCAGTACCTTGCTCCGTGCAGGTGAAGCATCATTTTCAAGCCTCCCCCACCAGTGGGGAGGCACTGACAGCACAGCAACAGAGTGATCACTCAAGATGGCGATCACGCGTTTAGGGCTTACATGTAGTGTCCATAAAACAGGGGCCCACTTCTATACCTCCAATACATAATAATCCAAATTATGAGGACCCCCCAACACCCCAAATGGACCCCTATATTTCAGGAATCCCTAGGTGGGGTTCACGGCACGATCTGGATGTTGGTTCAGGGATATGTCTGCCTGGTTCTCAAAATCCTTCCTCCATGTTCTGCGTCCGAGTATATAAGTGATACCAGGTATCAACACAAGTGGTACCAGGTATCCAGAAATAGAAATGGGATGCAGCAGTGTACTGACCCCCGCGGGCATATGCTCCGTATTTTGAATTGGAAAGGTATTCATAAGATCAAGAAGCAGTAGGATCTTTCCGCCACCTCTTGCACTTGAGAAAGCGAAGTATTCCAGGTACCCAATATTGCATGCAGCAGTCTCCTGGCAGTGGGACCAGTTCTTCATTTTTACACATACAGCCATGATCTCAATAATTCTGGTGGGAAGAGGCAACAACAGGAGGAACAGATATGGTAGTTTCCCAAAATAGGGGACCCCAATACAGACCCCAAATACTATAGTCCTTATTATGGGGACCCCCAAAATGGTAGCCCTAATTTTGGGAAACCCAAATCCCCATAAACGCCTATATGAACCAAGTTTCCATTTCATTTTCCATTTTCTTTTCCTTTTGACTCTCCATTGTTGTGAGTAATATACCCCTAATTTTGGGAAACCCCCAATATAGTGCCCAGCTTCAGGACCCCCAAACCCATAACAGAAAAAGTCGGGCGGAGTATGGACGCGCACTGTGCGCGTGTAGTATCCTTAGCTTCTGGAGTAAGCAGAAAGGACAGCAGGTGCAGCTCTGAAAAAGCAGCTGTAATGGGGTTATATAGGGAGTATCTACTGGGTATGAAGGGGTTTTGGGGATTATATAGGGATATAGCCAGCAGATAGCTCTCAGACAGAAAGTGCTGTTGGGATCTTGATATGCTTTGCTGCCTTTGTGTCTTGGCTCAGCTTGCAGATTTGGGGCGAGTTAGGTCTCTGGCTCGCCTTTTGCCCAGAAACTGCCCCCTTACTACCCGACGCCGGCATCTTTCATACAATGCCCCATGATGTTGGCCTTTCTCGCCATACTCTTGGCCTCAGCGACTCCTAAGAAGGTAAGGGGCCCCATAAGTCTGGGAATGTTACGCTACTTTGTGCGAGCCGTAGGACTCCCAACCCTAGACCCCTGGCTGCTACACGGTGCGTTAAGGAACCGCTCATACCGCTTCGGAACCCGTTTGGGGTTGAAGGCTTCGGGCTCAGGCCTTAGGATTTTTTGAGAGGTAAAGGGTTCAGCGAGGAGTAGTAGCCCTGCTTTGAAGGACGTGTTAAACCGAAAAGCACAGCAACCTTATGTGACCTTTACGATCTTAACTCCAGACATCAGACCTTAAGACCCTAACTCCTAAGCCCGAACCCTAAAACTCTAAAACCTTAAACCCCTCATCCCTACAGCAAGATCTCTGCACATCCCTAGCAGCCGCGTCGGATATCCCTAGTTGGAACAGCTGCGATCTGCAAACATGGTGCAGCCCCAGGTCGAGGCTCCAACCCTCTGGGTGTGGTGTTAGGGCTTGAGTCGCTGGATGAATGTTAGGGATCATTTAATGGGGGATATAGGGATTATATGGGGATATTATGGGAATACTTTAGGGTTTAGGGATCCTTTTTATACATTTTGGGGTGTGGGGTTCCTCATATTTCTGTAAGAAGGATCCTTTTTTCTCCCTAGGGTAATGTGGGCTAAGTCAGGTTTAGGGTTCAAACCCAGCTTCTTTCCTAGATTTACAGGCTATACTGAATAGAGAGGTAGCTACTACTAAGCTGTAGGTCATTGGGGTTGCGGGCACACTAAACTCTATAACAGGTACTATACATCCCCTTACAGAACCCCTATATGATTACAGCTGGTAGCAATGCTCCACCACCATTCCACTTGGCTGTGGTCCTCAAGAATCCTCATGTCTGAAATTCTAATTACTTTGGAGGGCCTCGGAAAGTTTTATTGCTGGCGCAGTGAACTCTCTCTGGGTTGACTGGTCCTTCTGCAAATTCTCTCCTTCATTATTCCTGTCATTCCAGGCCCTGAACCCTACACCCTAGAGCCTTGTCAACAAATTACTCTACGTGACCGCCTCATCAGCAAGTGCGAAGAAGTTTGCTCGGGACTGCTGCCACCTTTGGAGCATCTCTCAACATCCTCAGCTAGCGCCGGCCTTCTAGGATGTTGTCCTGAGGGTAGGAATCCTTCGATCTGAAGTCGTAACATAGATAAGCCGTATACATAGTCCCCCTTAAGTAGATAGAATATGGGGTACATGAGGATCTTATTACAATATTCCCAAAGCCATAGTCTATCTACTAAAGGGGGACTATAGTCCTCTATAACCCTATATAACCATAACCCCTACCATAACCCCTATTCACCCCTGCAATCTCTTGTCAGCACAGATTACAATATGCCAACAGGAAGATGTCGGCCCAGAGCCTGATGCCAGACCGAACTTTCGCAAGGCCACGAGCATGTACCTTCTTAGGGTTCAGGGTTTAGGGTTTAGGGTTCAGGGTTCAGGGTTTAGGGCTTAGGGTTTAGGGTTTAGGGTTCAGGGTTTAGGGCTTATTACTTGAGTAGCGCCAGGTAAGCTTACTGGCGCTTAGTAGGGAAGGGTAGTGTGGATGCCTTGAAAAATGGTAGTCCCCATAATATGCCTGCATCCCCTACTTCGCACTAGTAAGCTTACCCGCTTAACTGCCGACATGCCTCTGTTGCAGGTGGTGCGATCGATGATTTTGTTGTTATTTGCTGCAACTCTGCATAGGTTTACAATGGGCCCCATCTTGCACTGGGCCCCCCACCCTGAGCAGCCAGGCCCATTATCCATCCTCAAGCCCTGTGCCCTTTACGTCCTTAACCAGTTCTCCCTTTGCCTCATACACCTAATTACATCTCCAGCACCCCTGCAAGCTATAGTCTAAACTCTTTAAAGGGGGATGATATATAGGGGGTTATACAGGGGATTACTATAGGGGTTATTGAGGGGGATACTCGGAGTTCAGACTATAGCTCATATGACAGTTTCTCTACAGATCCCTCTGTAAACCCATTAGCGACGCCATAATCCCCCAATGATCCTGGCATCCTTGGTATCACCAGGGTAGCCACTGGCTTCAAGAAAGCAACATAAGTCTAGGTAAGTTATCACGGGCAAGCCCGAGCTTACCCTTAATTGTAGCTACTACTACTATTGGGAATATCCACCCAACAGGGCCTCAGTACAGGATTCTGACATATCAAACTTGCCAAGATACATCCCAAAGCAGGAAGCACTGGATCAGCTTCGATTGTCTGCCCCAATCTGCTTGGGTTTGCTGGCAAACCGCTTCATGGCCACCACGGCCACCGTAATCGCCGCTTGGGCGAGATCTACGAGGCCCTTCAGAAGGTATATGGGATCCCCTTTAGGCCCTAAGTATGTATCATATACCTACGTGGGCCGTTTGGGCAAGAGATCTACTTGGGGTTGAGATTTGGGGGCGTGGGGCTTATAGGGCATAAGGTTCATGGGGTTGAGGGACAACAAAAAAAGGACGTCGTTTGCAGTCACATGTTCGACAACCTGACGTAGGTGTTGCCAACGTTTCCCTTTTCTGAGGGTATCTCGTATTCTGGGTAGAGTGCTACATGTACACATCGACAGGTTGGGACACATCCAAAAAGAAACGTTCAAAGCCTGTAGGTAGGGGAGCTTGAGCCAAGGAAGGTTTGTCTGCCGCAAAAGGACGAATTCGAGTCGTGTGAAGGGGCTGGGTTACAAATGGGGAACCAACATAAGACGAGCGAAAACACCTTTCTACACGAGTTGTCCCCACCTGGATTGTGGTGCATGGCTAGATGCGGGTGTTGTGTTTCTCCATGGAAATACGACCTTTTTTGGGGGTGCCAGGGGAGACTCCCGAATGATTGTCTCGATTGCAATGACCCTTTGCGAGCATGCTCTGCACGCAATTCCCTGACACATCTACTTACGTGTTGAACAGCATGTCTGAATCTTCTGGACCCTATTCTTCTCTAGCCGGGGGCGTGTGCAGAGGATGTTGAGAAGCGTCATTTAAGTCATTTATACTATCAAACATTGCCCTAATATTCGAAAACAGTTGTGAATTGCCAAGCATTGGGATCTAAATGACTCATCCCGCCCGACGCTATCCCAGGTGGGCCATCTGGGAGAGAAGGACCTTGCAGCTGTAGGGCTTGCCGTCTCGTTGGCGAACGTCTCTGGCTACAGTCCCTGAGACTTGAGGGATTAGGTTGGTTGGATTAGGGTTTAGGGTTTAGGGTTTGATTTGTCCACAACAATGCGCCCTCACAACTGTCCCCAAAGAAGTTCTAGGAAGGGGCGGTTATTATGGAACTCCTGTTATGCCTTTTGGTTATCGTGCGGGGGAATTGCCAAAAGGGGTTAGGGCTTTTCAAAAAAGAAGAAGTGGGTCCTTGGGGGCCCATGCATGAGGATGGAATATTTGAGGGTCCACATTGCGACCCCTTGTTCGTGGGAACCCTGATTTGATTTTAGGGTTTGAGGTTGTTCAGGAATTCAAGGTGTGGGGTTTAGAGGGCTGGTTGGATCTGAGGGTTCTGGGATGCAAACTGCCAGACTCCTGTACGTCCTAAAGCTTGAAGACATCACTCCAATCCTTCAAGGATCCTGAACCCTAAAACCCTATAATATAGGGGAATTTCATGTCACTGATCTGAGACAACTTCAGGTTTGTTCTTGTAGTGGTGTAGTACAATGAGTATAAATGCCCAGACAGAACGTAAGTCAGGAAAACGAATGCTACAGGATGTTGTTGCTTCACGTATTTATCTGCCTTGGGGGGGGGGGGGGGGNNGACAAATAATTGGTTCCAAGCAATCCCTTGCCCTGCGGCTGCAGGCCAATTTCAATTAAGTACCCGAAATCCCAGGCGTCGTCCCTTTACTTTCTAAGGGTTACATATTGTGGTAGACATAATAAGTCATTGAGAAGGATCCCACCAAACCCATAGCAGGCCGTAGGATTTGGGGGCCTTAAATCCCCAAATAATTTTAGAGCAGAGGGTTTGGGCCCCTTGCTGCTCACAAAAATGTGGCCCCCTGATTCTCAACACATTCAGACGGTAGAGAGAGGTTGGAATCCCCCCAAACCCCCCAACAATTTCATGCAGTAGGGGGTTTGGAGTCCCCTAAAATCCATAAATCATTTCAATGAGTAGGGGGTTGGGACCCCCTGACTTTGAAAAATCATCTCAGTTAGTAGGGGTTTGGGCCGTGGCTAAATTCCAGCATGCTCCCTCAATGTGAGTAGTGTTCACTTCAATGTTATTATTGTGACCATTCTTGCTAATGTGCTTAGGATCATAGCTCATAAGTTGCAGAACCCTAGAGCATTTTAGCAAATGCAAAGATGACAGTCTTCATTTGCTAGTGTTTTCTTGTTAGAACATGTGTCCATGCGCGTGAAGATGAAGAAATCTCTTGTCCATCGTTGTTTTCCTATTTGTTTCAAATCAATATGTTCCCCTTATGTCGAGCATTCGGATTGTTTTCACTATTTTTCATATTCAGATGTTAGCAGACTTGTGCACCATGGGATGCAGAATGTTCACTTGCTTCCTTCGAAAGAAAAGGCAGCCCGTGGGTTGCACGAAAAC